CAGGCCTCTGGCGACATCCCAACGAACGCCCTAGAGGCCTATGACCCACAACCCAAGCACGGCGGCAGGATGGGTCGAAGGTCGTTAGATAGATTGGACCGCGTATATTGTATCGCCCATGCTGCCCCACACATACTGCGCAACATAGATTGCACAACAGATGGTGCGCGACATAACTTGCATAACATAGACTACGCCGTGTAAGGCGCACTACACATAGCACAACACCTTGTTAGAAACACCTTGCTTGGGGTCCACGCCAGTTAACATATTGTATTCCACGCTCTTGTGTTCGTCCTTGTCGCTGTCCTCCTCCTCCTCCTCCTCCTCCTCCTCCTCCTCCTCCTCCTCCTCCTCCTCCTCCTCCTCCCCCGCCTCCTCCTCCTCCTCTTCCTCCTCCTCCTCCTCCTCCTCCTCCTCCTCCTCCTCCTCCTCCTCCTCCTCCCCCTTCTCCCCCTCCATTCCCCCGACCTCCTGCTGATCCCCCAATCAATCCCTCCATCGAATCCACCTCTCCCCTCCATGCCCTGCTGGGCGGCTACTTTTACAGGTTTGGCCCCGTCGACCCTCGGCCCCGCGACGCCGATCTCGCATCGGCGCCGTGATCGCGATGCTCTTGCAAGACACTGCGCTACCACCAGCACGCGCTTGGGGGCAAGAGCTACTTAATATTCCGGCCAGACTCCCGATTATTGCCGGAAGCCTGAACACAAATAACGTTTTGCGCGGCTGCATCGCATGGCGCCGCATGGCCGAAAACCGAAACAATTCCCGTATTAAAAAACAGAGTCGCTGCTCGCGTGCTGGTGACGCCCTTGTCGCTGCGGCTTCTGTCAAGCGCATGGGGCTGCAACGACACGGGCGACACCACCGCGCGGACGGCGAAAGGTTCGGCGAGGTGAAACGGAATATTCCACATGGGCCCGATGAAGTGCGCAAGTCGCAAAGGCCGCATGACCCACATGGCCCACATCACCAGCATAGGCCGCATGGAACGCGGGGGCCGCAGGGCTTTGCTGGAAACCAACCCCCGTTGCAACTCGGCCCCGCGCCGATTAGCCGAGCAGCCCGGGGAGTGCAGAGCCGACCAGACCAACCAACCAACCAACCACCGACCAACCTGATTCATATCTTTTCTGGGCACGTCCCGCTGTGGATATTTATGTGGGAGCGTATTAGCTTGTGGTGACAGAGCGTTCTCTAGACGCTATCCTGTGGGGTGCCCATGCGACACGTCTGCTACACCGCGATGATCATCGGATTCCAACATAAAAATGTTCGATGGGTGCCAGAAACAGTGTTTCTCTTGATGCGTCCCCACAATCAAGCTGGGAACGGGCAACTGTAACACGCCCTGGCGGCTCCCCCACGAGCGTGCCCGACTACTGCGTATTGAGTCTATGTAAACGCTTGTGGAATGAATGTGTTCAGCCTCAGGGCCAATGGGTCTGAATGTTGGCGGGTCTGAGTGCGAACGAATCTGAACGCGATTCTGTCCGAGCGTGGGTAGAAAGTCGGAGTATACATGCGTCCAGGTATCAATGACTGAATGAACGTGGTCTGAATACGGGCAGTATGGCTATGCGTATATCTGAACATGAACGAGCAATGTGTGTGAACGTTTTGTGCACATGAGCTTGGGCATGCCTAAGCACAGTCCGCGTCGACTTGAGTGTGAGTAAGGGAAGGCAACCTGCTTCTGGGCGCGAACGGGCCAGCGCCCCCCTCATTGGCGTCGCTGAGGCGCCTGAACTCACCCCGTCCATATCGCGGTGGTCATGTGCCCCCCCCGCAAGAGGCGACTCCCATCGGCAAAACGAGCAAACCGCCGAATACATCCCCACGACATTTGCACGAGGGGACAAACATCATACATCCTGGCGGTCTCTCCTTGGGGTGATCTGGTGCCACGCCTGCTACTTCGTGGCGGTCATGTGGTTGCTCAACTGAAGAAGGATATGACACAAAAACGTGCAAATGCCACGCCAGCCATGTCGCGGCGACCATACGGCCCTCAAGAGAGAAGAGTCTGTCCCGCACAACGGGAAGACCGCCACAATCTGGGCGCGAACGGTCAGGTGTGTTGCTCCCTGGCGGCTCCTTCTTGCGGTGCCCAGTGGCACCCCTGCTTTACCGCGCTGGTCATGCGTCTTTCAAAATCGAACCACATAAATTGCCAAGGAAGCGAACCACCCGGAACGGTCCTCACAATGAGATCGCGGACGGACAAGTGTCCGACCCCCTGGCGGTTGTTCCTCTGGGCGCTGGGCGCCCAAGTCCCACGCATTCGCGCGCCTGTCAAAACATAGGGGCGTGTTCCACCAAACGACCATTCCCAAGCGGCACCTCCATGTGGTACCGTACTGCTACGCCTGCTAATATGTCGGTGAGCCAAATGCCGCGCATGAATGCATCAAGGTACGATTGGTCTAAATATGGTTGACGGTAGGGGTGAGTGAGCCCAAATGACTATGTGCGAGAATGATGTGAGTGAGTCTACGTCGGGTGTAGCGTGATGTACCCCCTAGCGCCTCCCCCATGTGGCGCCCAAAAATGATGACTGCTGCACCGCGATTGCCACGGCCTGGAAACACATGCTTAACTTCCAAAAGCCACCTGTTCGTAGGGGACGTTCCCACAATCTGGGCACCAACGGGCAACTGTCCGGACCTCTGACGACCCCCCTCCCTCTCTGGGGTGCCCAAGTATTCGCTTTCTTCGTGGCGGCACTGAAAAAAACACGCCCACCTCAAAACGCCAGCGTCTCGCGTGAGATAAAAATGCTGGGCGCCAACCGGCAAGTGTCTTACCCCGTGGTCGCTCTCCCTTGTGGCGCCCAAGAACTATGGCTGCGACATCGCGACCACCACGCGGCCCTGAACGTGACGCGCCTACATCCGTGAAACAAGCGAACCGCTGGAGACATCCCCACAATCTGGGCCCGAACCGGTCAGTGACCTCCCCTAGCGGCACCCCCTGGTGTTGCCCAAATGCTAGGCCTGTCGCATCGCGATGAGTCTGATCGTGAGATGGAGAAGGCGGGAGGAGGAGGGAGTGAGTAGACGGATGCGCGACACGGATGACAAGAATTCATGACGTAGAAGATGGGAGAAAGCTCCGCAACATCCTCCACGAGACGTGCAACTGTCTGCACAATGATCCATTCTGACAGTCGGACCCTTTCTCCGCACGCGTTCGACGGAAACTGGCGGCAATCACATTGAAACATTGGCCCAATCTGCTGAGACATCGCTTCGATTTGCACTTTCGTCAACCGTGCGTTTGATTCGCCCATGTCGTCCAGCCGCCCATCTGAACCGAAACAAACAGTTTCTGCAGAGACATCCTCACGATTCGCTCTTAAACTGGCCACGGAGTGCAAGTGACGCTGGCGGTGTGCTGCCCGCGCCGAGGCGAGAGCGCCGTTTGGACGGACTTTCGGCCATTGTACGGAAGTTCGGTCCGCATAGTAGTATGTGCCCGCTCCGCGAATAACGATAGCGAGGGCGAGGATCACACAGAGCGGTCCTATCCCAGACAAAATCAAATGCTAAGGCTATCACTATGCCTATGCCTACCGCGGTGTCCCCTTCCCCCATATGAAGATGAGGGGGGGCGAAAGAGAACGGAAGAGCGGTGAGGGGAGGGAAATGGAGCCACGATGGAGAGATCCAGCTTCGGTTGGAAACCCTCGGGGCAGGCATCTGAAATCCCGAACCAAACCTGGACAGCATAGCCCTTTTAATCTGGTTAGGACAGCCTTCCCATCCCTTCCGCTCCCCTTCAAGTTGGCGGCGAGCCCAGGGGAGAAGTGAGAAGGGGCAGGCCTCCTCAGAAAACGGCGGGGTTTCTTGGAAGCCCTCGCGACCTCTGAGAAACTCTGTGAGCCTTTTCCGATGACGCAGACGGCTTCTCAGAAGGCGCGAGGGCTTCTGAGAAGACCCGCCGCCTTCTGAGAAGGCCTGCCCACCCTTCGGACGACTGGTGGTTTGGGGTCAGAACTCGCCTCTCTGGTGGCCTTTCGGGACATTCTGGACTTCCCTGGACACCTCTCGGCTAGGCGCAGCCACTGGCACGCACCCCGAGGCTGGAAAACCGCCGAGAACTGGAAAACCGCCGAAAACCAACAACAACAACAACAACGCCAAGACACCCGAAAGCCCCAAACTTCCCCCCTGGCAGGAAGCTCACACAAGACGTTCGCGCCAAACCGCATACATGAACACGGCCCCATAACTCGCGACGGCGGCCGCGTGATACGAACGTTCGCGCAATGCGCACTGTCAAAACCAACATGGTTTCATGTGTGGCATTCCAAGAAGGGCCTTGCCTTCGAGGCTCGAAGGAACTGCCACCTCTTCCTCGGCGCACGGCGGCGGAAGGGCTGCGGAAGATCGACGGAAGGTCGGCGGAAGCAAAACGAGGCCGCCTCGGCCGGCGGCGGAAGGCGGCAGAAGCTCGGCGGAAGGCGGCGGAAGTAAACGCTGCGCCCTCGAGGGATGAAAACGATGTTTAGGGTTCAGGGATCTCGGAATCGGACGTGTACGTGTACGTCCTTCTTTCGCTCCGCCGGCTTCTGCCGGCTCGCGCTGGCGGAGGCGGCCTCGTTTTACATCCGCCGCCCCTCCGCGCCGCCTTCCGCCGAGGAAGAGATGGCAACTCCATCCGATCCTCGAAGGCAAAGCCCAATCTGGCACGCCTCATGTACGTGTACGTCCTACTTCCCAGGCATCTGGCTGCTCCAATCTTTTCGATGCGCGGGCCCCAGAGGTCCGGACCACTTCCCTAGGGCCGTGTCTTCGTCCTGAGTTGTTTTTTGACGCTCCCGAGGCCCAGCGAGGGCCCCCAGCGGCCAAAAACTACCAAAAACTTCCGTCCCGATTTTTTCGGGACGCCCGATGTCAAGGTACGTCCTGCGTTTTCTCCTGACCCGGGCTCGCCGCCGACGGAGGCCGCCGAGGGGGGCCCACGCGGGCGGCGCGCGCCGGGCTTGGGGGCGCCTGCGCGCGGGCGAACCGCCGGCACCGCCGCGCGGCCAGGCGGGCGCTGAGGTACCACAGGCGGCAGACCTGCGCCGCGCCCTGGACGAAGTCGTCCACCTCGGCCGACCTCGCACGGCTGAGGACTCGGAGGAGGAAAAGGTACCCCTGCCGCTACCCTTCGCCCGTTTTCCCCGTTTTTGGGCCTCGCGGGAGGCCCTCGTCGCCACCGCTGAATTCGCCTCGAAATTCTGGTCAGAACGCACCCCGGGACAGGTCCTGGGAGTAGTGGTATCGGTACGTTTTGGTTTCCCCCGGAAATTACACGACGCCATCCGGTTTCGAGGGGCTCGACTACAAGTATCATTTGCCCCAGACATGGATTGGTCTTCTCGTCGGTCCTATGAACAATACATCGAGTACAGGTGTGTATATATATATATATATATATCACACATCTATACTTCGACATATATATATATATATATATATATATATATATATATATATATATGTACATACATACATACATACATACATACATACATACATACATCCAGCCATCCATCCATCCATCCATCCATCCATCCATCCATCCATCCATACATGCATGCATGCATGCATACATACATACATACATACATACATACATACATACATACATACATACACACATACAACCATACAAACATACAAACATACAAACATGCAAACATACGCGCACATACATACATACATACATACAGACAGACAGACAGACAGACAGACAGACAGACAGACATACATACATACATATATACATACATGCATACATGCATGCATGCATGCATGCATGCACGCATACATACTTCATACATACATACGTGTATACATATATCGATATACATGCGGAAACACTCTACGGATTCTCCATGGATTCGACCAGGAAATTACTTGGGTAAGTCAAGTCTGTAGTCGATCCCCTACTCGAAGTTTTGTGAGAAGACCATAAAAAAGCATACGCATCAACGTTCGAAAGTCCGCGCGGATTTCTTGGATCGGCGCGGAACCCCCCTTCGCTGGCGCGCGGAGCGCGCCAGGGGCGGCGCCGAAGGCGCCGCCAGGGGAGCCAAGGCGCCGATCTCAGAAATCCGCGCGGAATGCCGAGCAACTATGTTGAGCTCGTTTTGCCCTATATCCAAAGTGGGGTTCTTGTTCTCTGGACACCCCGCGCAGGAACACACAGGAACACACACTCGCTCACACTCACACTCACTCACACACAGGCCATCTTGATCAATCGATCACACAATCACTTACCCACTCACTCATCATCTGCATCATCCTCATCATGATCATCATCATCATCACTCATTCAGTCATTCACTCACACAGTCACTCACCCACTCATTCGCTAGCTTGAACATGTGGAACGTATCAGACGGGAGGCTCGTTGTGAGTGAACTGTGAGGAAGTCTCAGGCGGGAGCCCCCTCCCTATGGGGCCCGCACTTCATATTTTTAATGCGGGCGGGTCATCTTCATCTCTGTATCTGTCGTCACTTTTGGGCTCTTGAGGCCTGGATGTGGGGGAAGTATCAGGCGGGAGGCTCGTCTGTGAGTGAACGATGAGGAATGAATGAACTGTGAGGAAGTCTAAAGACGGAGCGCCCTCGCCATAGGGGCCTGCGCATCATATCTTTAATCCGAGCGGGTCATCCTCATCCCTGTAACTATAATCACTTTTGGGCTCCTGAGGCTTGAATATGGGGAAAGTATCAGGCGGAGCCTCGTCTGTGAGTGAACTGTGAGGGAGTCTCATGCGGGAGCCCCCTCCCTCTGGGGCCCCCACTTCAATCCGAGCGGGTCATCCTCATCCCTGAAACTGTCGTCACTTTTGGGCTCCTGAGGCCTGAAAGTTGGGGAAGTATCAGGCGGGAGCCTCGTCTGTGAGTGAACTGTGAGGAAGTCTGAAGCGGAAGCCTCCTCCCTGTGGGGCCCGCACTTCACGTTTGTAATCCGAGCGGGTCATCTTCATCCCTGTCACTGTCGACACCCTTGGGCTCCAGAGGTCTGAATATGGGGGAAGTATCAGGCGGGAGCCTCGTCTGTGAGTGAACTGTGAGGAACTCTCAAGCGGGAGCCCCCCCCTTTGGGGCCCGCACTTCATATTTTCAACCCGAGCGGGTCATCCTCATCCTTGTAACTGTCATCAGTTTGGGGCTCCCGAGGCCTGAGTATGAAGGAATTATCAGGCGGGGAGCCTCGTCTGTGAGTCAACTGTGAAGAAATCTCCGGCGGGAGCCCCCTCCCTATGAGGGCCCTCCGCTCGTGTTTTCAATCCGAGCGTGTCATCGGGATCTTGTATCAGTCGTCACTGTTGGGCCCCTGAGGCCTGAACACGAGAAGCATCAGGTGGGAACCTCGTCTGTGAGTGAAATCAGAGGAAGCCTCCGGCAGGAACCCCTCCCTATGGGGCCCGCCGCTCACGTTTTCAACCCGAGCGTGCCACCGCGATCTTGTATCAGTCGTCACTTTTGGGCCCCTGAGGCCTGAATACGGAGGAAGTATCAGGCGGTAGCCTCGTTTGTGAGTTAGCCGCGAGGAAGTGGCAAGCGGGAACCCCCTCTCTATGGGGCCCGCAGCTTACACACAGGATGACGAACAATGGCGGCCTCACCCTACTCGGAAATATGATGAATGGGGATGGCCTTCAACCGAGAGCGCCGTCCTGCGGATCACCAAATCTGCCCCGGATAATAATCCCCCAGCCTGCACGAGCCTGCACAGCCGCAGAAGAACATTCTGCGTCATCATCCATTTCTCCACTCACCCACCTGGGGTGTATGTAACAGAGACGGCCTTCAACCAAGAACGCCCTGGCGTCCTGTGGATCACTGGATCTGCCCCCTGAGGTCAACCCCCCCGAGGCCGACTCGGCCCCTGGAGGCCCGAGCGAGGACGCGACAGAGGTGCATGGAGGAAACGCGCAGGAGAGAGAGCGGAGGAGCGAGAGAGAGAGACGGAAACCAGCGCCCTTAAGGCCCCGCCTGAAACATGCTCCAAAGCTGCTCTGAAACCAAAAGATGTTGAACCACAAAACAAGCAAACCGCCTGAGACATGTCCACAAGCTGGCCGCGAACGGGCCCGTGTCATACCTCCTGGCGGCTCCCCGCAGGGGTGCTGCAACCAGCGCCGCGCCTGACATCCTCCAAATCTGCTCTGACAGCGAAGGATGTTGAGCCACAAAGCAAGCAAACCGCCTGAGACATCCCCAACAACAGGCCGCGAACGGGCCAGTGAAAACAACCCCCCGCGGCTCCCTGCAGGGGTGCTGAAACCAGCGCCCCGCCTGAGACATCCTCACAATCTAGTCTATACGCAGACGGTGTCCTCCTCCTCCTCCTCCTCCTCCTCCTCCTCCTCCTCCCCGCCTGGCCCGGGGGGTTGTCCCAACGGCCGCGCGACGCGGCCATTCGAGAATGCGCCCGCGCTGGCCGAGGCGGCGACGGCGTCGAGGAAAATCGACGCGCGCGCTCTTGCAATAGACAGGAGAGGTGGTGGGTGACGAAACAGCAGGAGGGCGAGGAAAGGGCAACGCGGGGAGCGGGTGAGGGCCCTGCGCCAGGGCGAGAATGATAATGACGCAGAGAAGGCAGTAAGGGCGCCTCACTAATCGCGAGCACGACAATGAAGGTTCCTTCCAGATTAGCCGAAAGGACTTTCATGTGGGGTCTGTCCGTCGGAGTAATTTCTTGTTCGAGTTGTAGGAAGCAACTCATGGGAGGTCTTCGCAAGAACGGTAGAAAAGGATTCGACCGCAGAGCCATTCGGCCGGAATAGGCCTGGGATGAAACCAGATTAAGCGGGATCCAGCCGAGCTGAGCAGGATAAAGCAGAATTCAGCGGGACTATGCCAAATTATGCCTGATAAGGCGGGTCCACGGATATAACAGCGCCGATGCCGAATTTAGCCTCCCAAGAGTTGCATCTCAAAAAGTTGGAGAAACACGGCCTGTTGCCACGGCCAGCGCAGCAGATGGCTGCTTCAACTCTCCCTCCCCGCGTGGAGGCCAAAATCGAACAGAGGGTGGCAACGCCAGCATCAACGGGCAAATGATGACGATGGGTGGTCCACGCTTAGCTCTCATATCTGTCTCCCCTCCTGCTCTCCGCTGGCAATCACACTGCCCATTTGCATCGCGGCTGGGGCACCGTGCAACTGTAATGCGGCGAGAGGCAGCACAATATGCTGCGACCGCTGGCACGGCCTTTGAAAATACACGGATGGGGAGGGGAGGCGAGTGGGAGAGTGGGCAGGAGGGAGAGGGGGGACAGGGAGAGCGTGAGCGGGAGAGGGCGGTGGAGGGGGAGGGGGAGGAGGCGGTCGAAGGGGCCCTGCAGCAATGTCCAGCGGAGAGGTCATCACGCCCGGGCAGGCGACCGACGATGCCGACGGAAACGCGGAGGCGGCGGGTCGGCTGCAGTTGTGGGCGGCACGAAGCCGAGGCATCGCTCCATCCGGAAGGCAGCACGAGCAGCACATTCGGGCAGGGCGAAGGGGGGGATAGCACAGGGGGGGGGTTGAGAATCAGCTCACGTAGCTGATTTTCCCGGCGCCTTCCGGCGCCAGACGCGGCTATGTATCGAGGAATGGGCCCGTCGGTGGGGCCAACACCAGCTGCATGCAGCAGATTTCGTAACCCCCCCTTTCCCAATCCCCCCCTTTCTTCCTGCCCGACACATCCCTGGGCCTGCTTGGCACATCGCGACGGTCGGCGAACGACCCCTCTTGCGACGAGAACGAACAGGCGGGCCAAACCTTGTCACATATCAGATGCGTCCACTATCGCTGACAATGTGCTATTGATACGTTCAGGAGATTCCGGGATTTCTAACAGCCTTCGCGCGGGGTACATTTTGCGTCGAGTATTGTCTACTCTGGCTGGCGTCGCTGGTCGGTCATCCATTCGGAATCGAGCGGTCGCCCGTAAGGGGCTACTTGGCAGTTGCTGACCCCCCTTCTCGTTGCCGAGCGCGGGGGGGGACGGCGGCGCACCGTCCCATCGCCCGCCGCCGCGCACCGCGCGTCTCGGCGGATTCCCAAAGACCTGGCAAGGCAAATCATGCGCGACTCAAGAAAATTCTCCGGGGGTAAAATTGAACAAATCCGGGAACATGTTTGAACATGTCTGGCCTATTTTTCGAAAAATGTCAGACCCGTTTTTTGAAAATTTCCGGGATTGATTTTGAAAAATTCCGGAATCCATTTTGAAAAATTCCGGATTCCAGAATTCTTCAGATGTCCTGCGCGGCGGGCGCATTCCTCCCCTCAAAACTGTTTTTGAAAATTTCCGGGCTCATTTTTGAAAAATTCCGGAAACGCTTGCGCGAAAAGAAGGCGGCAACATTTGCTGACACATTCTATAATCAGGACTAATGCGGGCGGTCCGACGGGCGCGGCGGGCTGATTCACGCGCCGCGCCGCGCGCGATTGGGCGCAGCGCGCGCCGCGCGTTGCGCCCGCGAACAGCACTCGAAGGGGCTATCTCGAACACAGCGCCACGGCAGCTGCGACCCGCGGACCCCCCAAGAGCAACACAGCATGCAACTTGGAATCTTCGAGGGCGCTCCGATGCGCGAAAAATGCACCGCGAACATCACGCAAAGAACCTGCGCGACGGAACGCGCTCGACCATTCGTCCCTGAAGCAGGTGCGGAAGAACAGGAAAACCTGGAAATGTGGAAAACTATCAATATCAATACTTCATGCTCCAGCGCAATCGTGGAGGAGAAGGAGGACAGCTGAGGCGAGGATCGCACGACGCTGCACCACCATGCACCACTTGCACTCTGTGACACAACCGCGGCACGTCCGAGGAAGTGTAGACAGGGCGCGGACTGATTGGCCCGAGCGGCCAGCTCCTCAAACCCATCACCACACCAAGAACACCGGCAGGAGTCAGATACGTCCACGGATGCTGCCGTGCTGCGCGCAGCACGCGAAACCAGACTCGGTAGCACCGTGTGTTTCGGGGAGGATCAGCCCCAAAGCCGAGCTCCCCTTTGGGCATCGCGGCCCCAGCTCGCCTGTGAAGGTCGTCGGGGCTCCAGCCCTGACGTACGGAATTCGAGCCCGGCCCAGCCGTGGCGACGAGGAGTCCAACGGGCGCATCCCGTGAGACAGTGTTCGACGTGTGCAGCAGGCGGAGGGCGCGAAGACGCGCGCGTTTCTCACCCAGGCCGAGCTCCACGTGACATCTCGGCAGCGCAGCGCAGAGATCCATGGACTGGACACCAGGAGACCCGCGACGATGGAGGGCTTGCAGAGATGCCCCGGAGGCCACGCTGCGCCAGCGGCAGCACACCCCCTGGAAAAATGATCCACTTTTGCAGGTCGTGTCGAAGAATCGTCTGGGGGACTTCCCTGAGAGGTCCAGTTCAACCCCGGGTCCGTTTCTGACGGCCCCTGGGCCCAAGAACGACGAGCAACCGAAGGCGACGAAGGCAGACACACCGGCGACGAGAGCTGCACTCTTTGCCCGGGGCAGTGTGGCACGGCAGGGAACCGGGCCTCCACAGGTACAGGCGGCGGAGCCCCAGGTCTGCAAGGAGCGCCATGGGGAGCAGGACCGCGAGCACCCAGGCCTCGGCGTGTGCTAGGGGAACAAAAAGTGACATAATCATAAAAACTCGGAGGTCCGCGCGGATTTCTCGGATCGGCGCTGGACTCCCCTCCCTGGCGCGCGGAGCGCGCCAGGGGCGGCGCCCGAGGCGCCGCCGGGGTGCCCCAGCGCCGATCCGAGAACTCCGCGCGGACCTCCGAGTTTTTCCCTACCTAGGCTCTGCCTAGAAGGGTTCTTACTCTCTTTGCTTGAAGGGGCCGGGCAGTGCTAACCGCCCCGGGCCATTCCCCCAGGATCCGCCCCGCGGTTCCCCCCAGTCCCCTGGGAGCTTTAGCTTTAGCTTTAGCCTTAGCCTTAGCTTTAGCCTTAGCTTAGCTTTAGCTTAGCTTTAGCTTAGCGTTAGCTTAGCTTTAGCTTAGCGTCAGCTTAGCTCTAGCTTAGCTTTAGCTTAGCTTTAGCTTAGCTTTAGCTTAGATTTAGCTTAGCGTTAGCTTAGCTTTAGCTTAGCGTCAGCTTAGCTCTAGCTTAGCTTTAGCTTAGCTTTAGCTTAGCTTTAGCTTAGCTTTAGCTTAGCTTTAGCTTAGCTTTAGCTTAGATTTAGCTTAGCGTTAGCTTAGATGTTGCTTAGCTTTAGCTTAGCTTTAGCTTATATTTAGCTTAGCTGTAGCTTTAGCTTTAGCCTTAGCTTTAGCTTAGCTTAGCTTTAGCTTAGCTTTAGCTTAGCTTTAGCTTAGCTAGCTTAGCTTAGCTTTAGCTTAGCTTTAGCTTAGCTTTAGCTTAGCTTAGCGTTAGCTTAGCTTTGCTTAGCTTTAGCTTAGCTTTAGCTTAGATTTAGCTTAGCTGTAGCTTAGCTTTAGCTTAGATTTAGCTTAGCTTAGCTTAGCTTTAGCTTAGCTTTACTGTTACTACTAATGCTGCTTTCCTAGGGGCTCCAACTCCTCGGTAGGGTCGCACTGGGATAATTATGTTTATGCCACTTTTTGTTCCCCTATGTGCGCCGCGGGGGCGTCACTGCGGCCCGGAGGGCTGCTGGGCCGCTGCCCCCCCCCCCCCCTGTCTAAGCCTCGCGGGGCCGAACGCGCCACGGCTGCCCCGTGCGCTCGTGTCTGTGGCAAGCCTGGCAGCGAGCGACCGAGGTCCCCAATCGGCCCGTGCACCCGTCGATCACCGATCCATCGATCCAGGCCCCCAGTGATATTTGCGCCTTCAGGGGCAGGGTGGCTCCCGGGGCTACACCTATACCCCCACCCCGCACCTACCCGCTCGATCCGCCTCCCGAAGAGAAGCCCAACGACACAGGTGACCAGGGCTGCCTCGTTTGCCGTGCGGTGTCTGCCCGCATCACCATCCTGAGGGTCCCTCTCCAGACAACGTGTGGACGACTGATGATGACATCTGACGTCAGCAGGTAGCCGACTGCAGCAGAGCCTTGTGCCACGTCGTTGTCCCCTCGCCTTAGACCTGACGGTCGGGAACTGTTGCTTAGCGCGTCGCGACGGCGGCCCTAGCGACACGCTATGCCCTGCGAGCCGATAGCGTGTCGCTTCGCCCCGCCAGGTGGGAGGCTCGGAAAGGCTCGGGACGCTGGCGCTTGGAAAGGGGGACGTGGATAGCGTGTCGCGCCGAAGCAAATCCAGACCGTAATCGAAGGACCGGTTGTACTCGATACTCAGCGCCCCTCTAACGAGGACTCCCCTGACAGGTACTTTGGCCGGTGACCCAGCGAACCCAACCCTCCCCGATGTAGGCAACGCTGCAATGCCAGAAAGACCCTAAAGTGGCAACTCTCGGCAACTTTCCAAAGTAGCCGTTAGTGAGCGAGTACCCGTTACGGTGCCACTGAGATACAACCCCATGCCCTCAACCGGAGGGGGGATCGAAGCAACACCTCCCCACATTAGAAGGACAGGAGGAGGCGGCCAAGCAAAGTGCTGACCTGAGCCCCTGGCAGCAACGGCGCCAGCGAGGAGCCACAAGGGCCAGGTGAAGAGGAAGACCACAACGCAGGACACCAGCAAGGCAGGCCAGGTGAACAGGAGGACCGCGCCGACCACCAGCGGGTTCACCTAGCAGTCGCCTCCTCATCCTCCTCACACGCAGTTCGAGATGGCAGCTCCCCAATCGCCTGTCTTGACCCGAAGTGCGGGAAGATCCCGAGTCAGGGGGGCAGCGCCATCCTGCGTCCAACCGCTCCGAGCACTCTGCGCTCGACCCGCGCCGAAGAAGGCCCGAGAAGACGCACTGCCCCTCCTTCTCCTCCCCATCACCCTCCCTCACCCCCCTCCTCTTCCTCGTCCTCCTCCTCCTCCTCCTCCTCCTCCTCCTCCTCCTTGTCTTCCACCTCCCCCTCCTCCTCCACCCCATCCCAGTCTTCCTCCTCCTCCTCTTCCTCCTCCTCCGCCTGCTCCTTCCTCCCTCCTCCTCCTCCTCCGCCTCATCCGGCTCCTCCTCCTCCTCCGCCCCCCTCCTCCTCTACTTCGCCTCGCTGATCCACCTCGTCCCCTCCGTCTTTCTTCGCCTCCTCCTCCTCCTCCTCCTCCTCCATGTTTTTCGTCCCTCATCCCCTCCCCCTCCTGACTCCTCTCACTTTCTCTCCCCTCTCCCCGTGTGCCTCCTTCTCGTCTCCTTCTTCCCCTCAACCTTCTCGGACACATCGGAACACCACATTCACGCTTACACACACACGGCCATGCCCCCTCAACCTTCTGCCCCTCCTCCTCCTCCTCCTCTTCCTCCTCCTCCTCCTCCTTCTCATCCTCCTTCTCCTCCTCCTTCTCCCATTACTCGTCGTCGTCATTATCCTCCTCTTACTCCTCCTCTTCCTACTCATCCTCCTCCTCCTCATCATCACCGTCGCCATCATCAGCATCATCATCAGCAGCATCATGATCCTTATCATCCTCATCAGTATCAGCATCATCAACAGCATCATCATCATCATCATCATCATCATCATCATCATCATCATCATCATCATCATCATCATCATCAACATCAGCATCAACATCATCCTCATCATCAGCACCATCATCATCAGCAGCAGTATCATCATCATCATCATCATCATCATCACCATCATCATCATCATCATCATCATCGTCGTCATCGTCGTCATCCTCATCATAATCGTGATCATCGTCATCAGCACTAGCATCATCGACGTCATCCCCAATATCGTCATAATCGTCTTCATGTCCACCACAACGACAATACCATCATCATCAACCGTATCAGCATCATAATCATCATCAATCGAACCGGGCCGAACCGAACTGGTACGAACCGCACGTTTTGTCAACAGGAACCGAACCGAACCGGAACCGAACGGGGACTCATGTTCGAACCGAACCGAACCGAACCGGATTCGATTTCGAACCGAACCAGGCCGAACCTGACGGAACCGCACCGAACCGGACGTCTCTGGGGCCTTGAATTTGGCGAAGTGAAGTAGGAGGAGGAGGAGGAGGAGGAGGAGGAGAAGGAGGAGGAGGAGGATGGCAGTGAGGAGGAGGAGGGCAGGGAGGAGGAGGAAGAGGGCAGGAGGAGCAGGAGGAGGCAGATCCAGCTCTGATGCAACCCTTCTAGGGTTCGATCCAAATATTCTAATATCCTGATACAAGGGCTGGTCTCAGCTCTGATGGGATCAGTCCTTTGTAAAAAAACGCAAACACAAACAAACGATTCAGATCTGAATTAATCCTGGCTGGAACCAGCTCTAATAGACCCAGCTCGAATGGAGTTCGACTATAGCTCAGGCAAGCTTGGATGCGATCATATTGGGGCTGGATCCAGTTCTGAACGAACCCTGATCGATCCCGGTCCACCTCAAATAGAATCCTACAGGGCCTGGGTCCAACTCTGGAGCTATCCCATTCGAGCTCGGCCCAAGTCAAATAGAATCCTACTGCGTCTGCAAGTCTGCGCGGGCCCCAAGCAATGTGTTCCTAGCAAAATGTGTTGTGCAATGCTCGTTGTGCAGTCTGGATTGTGCTATCTACGCGGTGCAACCTAGGTTGTGCAATCTGTGTGGCGCAACCTACGTGGTGCAATCTGTTGTGCGCTCTACGAGGTGCTATGCTGTGCAATTGATTTTAAGAAACGAGTTGACACAGCCCACGCTCTTGCAAACATCCCACCCACCCACCCGCAACTTGGTTTGCAAAATCTCTTAAGACTTTGACGGTGGGTACCAAATTGCACTTGGCAACGACAGCGGCGCCGACGACGACAGCGACAACGACGACGACGCCGCCGACAACGACTACGACGACACCGACGATGTCTCCAACGACTTCGACGACGCCGGCAACGACGACGACGACGACGACACCGACGACGACGACGCCGACGCCGACGACGACACCGACGACGATGACAACGACGACGACGACGATGACGACGCCGACGCCGACGACAACGACGACGACGACGTCAACGACGCCGACGACGACGACGACGACGACGGCGGCGACGACGACGACGACGACAACGAAGGCGACGACGAAGACGACGACGACGCCGACGACGACGACGACGAAGACGACGACGACGTCGCCAACGAAGACGACGACGAGGGAGGAGGGAGGACGACGACGGCGACGACAACGACGACAACGACGAGGGAGGGGGGAGGACGGCGACGACGCGAACGACGAAGAAGGAGGAAGGACGGCGACGCCGACGACGACAACGACGACGGAGGAGGGAAGACGACGACGACACCGACGACGACGACGACGACGACGACGACGGCGACGAAATAGGAGGGACGACGACGAGACGCCGACGACGGACGACGACGACGACGAGGGAGGAGGAGGAAGGACGACCACGGCGGCAACGACGACGGAAACGACCACGACGCCAAAGAGGACGACGACGACGAACACGAGGAAAGACAGAGGACGACGTAGGCGACGACGATGACGACGACGCGGGAGGAGGGAGGACGGCGACGACGACGACGACGACGAAGCAAGAGCGCGCGCGCATGCTTTTGGTGAAAATCCGTGTTGCGGAACCTTGTGTTTTTTATGTTTTTTGGACACACGATTTTGAAATCCTTCCGAAACCGATGGGTTTTGAAGAGTTTCGGCATACGCGCGCGACGACGCGCGCGTCTGCACTTCGTCCCGTTTTTTGCAGAGGATTCTCGCGACAGTACACGCGCAGGGGCGTTCGACAGATTTCGACATGCGCGCGCGCGAAGCCCGTTTGGTAGCATTTTGTGGAAATCTTGAAAAACCTATGGTTTTCTTCAGATTTCGCAAGAGCTCGCGCATAAGCTTTTTAGACAAATCAGTGTTGCGAAACCCGGTGTTTTTGTATGTTTTTTGGAAACTCGATTGCAAAACCCTTCCGGCACCGAGGGTTTTTGGAGGATTTCGGCATGCGCGCGCGACGACGCGCGCGTGCACACTTCGTCTCATTTTTTGCAAGGGGTTCGTGAACAAGTGTTATGTTCGACGAAAAAATGTCCCCGCGCATCGTTTTTCACAAGGGAACCTCAGGGGAACCGACACCGGCCCCCCTGGGATAGTGTAAAGTCATATTTAGGATGGGCATGCGGTCAAAATCATACATGATCTACATACCCGAAAGGGGGGCGGCGAACGCCAGGAAGGGGTAGAGTCTATTTTGTTTTTAGAAAGGAGAAATAGCTTCTGTTCGCAGTGAATTATCCACTCCACTGCTCGCGCAATCATCCCACCCGCCCACCCGTAACTTGGCATGCAAACCTCAAGCGGCGGGGATTTCGATGAGTGTTTGGCCTTGGCTGGCGTATCTCTGCGGCCACGCTAGCCCGCGCGTGTTCGCGCGGGCAGCGGCCAGCTAATTTGGCGCTACCGACGCGATCGTGAAGGCGCTGGCTGCTGGGCCCTTCCCAGCGGGCACTTCAGTGCGAGCCGGCGACTTGGGCGGGCGCGGTAGCATGGCAACGTCAACAATGGTAGACGCGATGATGATGGTAGCGATGCGGGCGACGATGATGACAACGATGACGGCAAGGCCAGCGACGGCACCGATGCTGATCACGCCGACGATACTGACGGCGCCCTCGCGTCGGCGATGCTGGTTTGGAACGGAGTTCGACATGCGCGCGCGGCCGACGCGCGGGAGCGGCCCGCATAATACAGGGAGGCTGGTAACACAACAAGCTGGAATCATAACCGAGAAAGAGGTTAGACTAGGTAAAATGGCATCGGCCTGCGCCCGCGCGAAATAAAAACAGAAGCGGGCCGAAGCCCCGAAGAAAATAAAACAGCGCGCCCGCCATGCTCTTGCAAGGCCCCGAGCCGGCCCGAACCCAACGCCACGCCGACGGAGGTGGCAAGCAGCCCCCAGTCGAGCCCAGACAAAAAAAAAAAACGGCCCGCAGCGAATAAACAAAAAGCGTTGGCGGTGGCCTGGGGAGGGCGGGGGCGAGCCAAACAACTGGGATCAATGGAGTGGCCACCCAAAAAAACCTTTGCAGTGGCGCAGGAAGCGGGGGGGAGCTAAGAAGCCAGATATCAATGGACCGACCAGCGGAGCCGCAAACGACAATCGAAACGTGCTGGCCGAAATGAAATAACACGAGCGGGCGGAAACACAAAGACCTCACCGCGCCATTTGGGGGGCGCGCACGGCCCTCAACAAAAAAAACACAAGCGGCTGGAAACGCAAACGGGTTACAGCACCCCTTTTCAAGATTTCCCTCGCCGCCAGAAAAAAAAGAACCGGGGGGCAACAAAAAACAAACACAACCGGGCCCGGCCGCCTCATATGTTTCCAGCCTCCCTGTATTATTTGACAATGATTGTGCCCCCGTAGCACGCGCGCAAGGGTGCTCAAATGATTTCGACTCGCGGCGCGACGGGCCCGTTTGGCAGAACTTAGTGAACACGTTGGCAAGTCCGCTGTTTTCTTAATGGCTCACAGGAGCGCGAGCGCATGCATGTTTGGAAACTGATGTTGCGAAACTATACGTTTATATGTATCGGGGACCTGCGATGCGTGAGGTTTTGGAAGGATTTCGTCACGCGCGCGCCACGACGCGCGCGCGTGTACTTCGTCCTTTCTGTGC